TTCCTTCCCAACACCCCCCCCCCCCCCCCACCCCACCCAACCACACACACACACACCAGCCTTCCTTCCCAACACCCCCCCCCCCACCCCACCCAACACACACACACACACACACACACACCCAGCCTTCCTTCCCAACACCCCTCCCCCTCCCCACCCAACAAACACACACACACACACACCAACCTTCCTTCCCCCCCCCCCCACCCAACACACACACACACACACACACCAACCTTCCTTCCCCCCCCCCCACCCAACACACACACACACACACACACCAACCTTCCTCCCCAACACCCCCCCCCCCCCTCCCCCCACCCCCCCCCTCACCCCCCACCCACACACACACCAACCTTCCTTCCCAACACCCCCCCCCCCCATACCCAACACACACACACACACACACTCACCAGCCTTCCTCCCCCCCCCCACCCCCACCCAACACACACACACACACGTGCACATATAGAATATGTCTCCTTCTCCCTCGAGTCCGCTTTTACCTCTGAGCGCAAAGCTAAAGTTAACAACCCTTAAACCCACGATTGAGACGAAACGTGACGAAGGAAAGAGAGCAAGAAACACAGGATGAAAGAGAGATGGAAAAAGAAGGAAAGAAAGAAGGAAAGAAATAAAGAGAGAGAGAGGGAAAGAGAGGGAGAGAGAGAGAGAGAGAGAGAGAGAGAGAGAGAGAGAGAGAGAGAGAGAGAGGGAGGGAGAGAGAGAGAGAGAGAGAGAGAGAGAGAGAGAGAGAAGGGGTGAGGGAGGGAGAGAGAGAAAGAGATAGAGAGAGAGAGGAGAGAGAGAGAGAGAGAGAGAGAGAGAGAGAGAGAGAGAGAGAGAGAGAGAGGGAGGGAGAGAGAGAGAGAGAGAGAGAGAGAGAGAGAGAGAGAGAGAGAGAGAGAGAGAGAGAGAGAGAGGGAGAGAGGGAGAGAGAGAAAGAGAGAGAAAGAGAGAAAGGAAAGAATCAGAGGTATTCTCGAGGAAAAGGAAAAATTCTTAAACCTCATCCTATTTCTGGTTCTCCTCTCCCCCCCTGCCCCCCCCCCCCCCCCTGCGAACCCCCTCTCGCCTTCTGTGTTCCTCCCTTTGAGTCGGAAGTATTTTTAGGCGAGAAAGTGGGAGGCAGAATTACATACATACAGACTTGCCTACCTTACTACATATATACTTATATATATATATATATATATATATATATATATATATATATATATATATATATATATATATATTATATATATATATATATATATATATATATATATATATATATATATATATATATATTACATGAAAGAGTGAGAAATAGACAGACAGACAGACAGATAGATAGATAGATAGACAGATAGATAGATAGAGGGAGAGAGATAAACAGTTAGACAGATGCTGATAATGGTGAGGATAATATACACGGACCATATATATATTTTTTTATTAAAGATTCTTTATAATCATTTTCATTATCGTTTTTGTCTTGTAGTTTATGATAATGTTGTTTTTCTGTTGAAGTTCTAACCAATATTATTTTTCGCCTCGTTATTGTTATCTTTGTTAATGTTATCATAATTGTGTTGACTAACCGTGTCATCATTACTATTATTGTTATTGTTATTGTTGTTATCATTGTCTTTAATATCACCGTTAATGCTATTAACATTGTTGGTATCGTTATTATCACCGAAATTATTATTATTATTATTATCTCCATTTTCAAAAGTACTATCCGTACTCAACTTTTCTTATCCTGTTTCTCATCTTCCTCTTACGAAAGATGAAAAGAGAGTAAGAGCGAAGGAAAGAAAGAGAAAGAAAACGAAAGAGAACGAAAAAGAGGGAGAGAGCAAGCAAGAAAAGACGAAATGAGACCACTCCTGCCGATAAGGACGTTGTTGTCGCATTAGAGTCAAAGAAAGTTGACCCTTACGGACAATGACTCAGCGCCTTCAAAGAGGAAGTGTATACGAAAAAAGCGCCAAGATTTCCGATTTTCTAAGAATAATGACCTGATATTTTTCTCGTATTTTTCCTGTGATTTTTAATGTGATAGAAGCAGAATGCATGAATATTTTGACAAACACTTTGAAGGAAATTATATAACCTACACAAATACAAGTACTCGCTCATGTTTAGCCATATGCAGATACGCAAAAAAACTCCCACGACACACACACACACACACGCGCGCGCGCCCACACACACACGTCCATACGCGCAGCCACATGCCCACACACAGACACACATACACACACACGCCCACACACAGACACACGCCCACACACACTCACGCCCACACCCACAGACCCACTATACATATACACGCCCACACACACACACGCCCGCATACACAGACACACGCCCACACATATAGATACACGCTCCCACACATAGACACACACACACACGCACGCACACACAGACACAGACACACACAAACATACGCCCACACACACAGACACACACACACACAGATACACACCTACACACACACACACACACACACACACATCCACACACATAGATTCTCGCTTATACACACACAGTCACACACACACACACACACAAACTCGCGCGGGCGCGCTCACACACACAGATACAAAAACGCGCCCAAACACACATACATACACACGTCCACAAACACAGACACTCGCCCAAACACTCAGACACACACCCACACACATAGATACATGCCCACATCCACAAACACACGCCCACACATACAGACATACGCCTACATCCACATACACAGACACACGCCCACACTCAGACACACGCCCACACCCAAACAGACAAACACACACCCACACACACATCACAAACATAGACACAAACACAGACACACGCCTACACGCACACACAGACACAGACACAGACACATACCCACACACACAGACACACACAATCACACGCCCACACACATAGACACACATCCACACACACAGACACACGTCCATAGATACACGGCCACACACACACATGCCCACACACTCAGACGTACACACACACACACACACCAACGCCCACACACACACACACACACACACACGCCCACGCCCACAGACACACCCACGTGCGCTGTCTTGCCCCATAAAACCGTACGTTTCCTTTCAATTTTGGGTGCTTAATCTTCTGTAAAATTCTCTGTTTCCATTTCTTTGCTCCCTTTCAAATCTCTTTCATGTGTCTTCTATTTCCATATTTATTCGTGTTTCTCTTTTCGATTTTTCTTTTTTCTTCCGGGTCTGGTTCCTTCTGTCTCTTTCTTTTCTCTCTTCTTCTCTTACGGTTTATCTGTTATTTTCTTCTTCCATCATTTCCTTGCTCTTCTTCCCTCTTTCTTTCTATCTCATATCTCTCTTCTCTCCTTTCCCTCCTCCTTCTTCTCTCCTTTCTTCCTCTTCCCTTTCCTCCGACATTTTTCTCTTTTTCTTCCTCTTCTTTCAGCCTTCCTCTTTCCCTTTATTTTTTTTTCTTTATCTTCTCTTCCTCCTTATCCCTTCCCCCCCCTCTCAACCCTACCCCCTTTCCACCTTACCCCCCCTCCCCGACACCCTTCTCTCACACACACACCATTATTATTATCATTATCCTTTTTGTTATTATTATTATTATTATTATTATTATTATTATTATTATTATTATTATTATTATTATTATTTTTATTATTATTATTATTATTATTATTTTCATTATTATTACTATTATTACTATTATTATTATTGTTATTATTATTATTATTATTATTATTATTATTATTATTATTATTGTCTATTAGTAGTAGTAGTAGTAGTAATAGTAGTATTGTTATTATTATTATTATTATTATTATTATTATTATTATTATTACAACTATTATTTATTATTATCGTTATCATTATCATTACTATTATTATTTCTGTTAATATTATTATCATCATCCTCATTATCATCATCATTATCCTTATACTATCATTATTATTTATGTATCATTATTATCATATTTTTTAATATCTATTCATTTGTCTAAGTATTATTCTTGTTTATACCTTATCATTTATTGATTAGCTATTCATTATTGAATATATATATATTTTTTGAGGGGGATGATTCTGCCAAATACTGCAAATAAAACACCCACGTAATAAGAACTAAGCGTCTGAGTCCTCCTTACGTGCCATCTGTACAAAGCGAAATATACGAGTCACCCCTACTACGAAATTTTACATAGAAAATGCCTTACGTTGTGGTCTAACACGAATGAAGTCTAGGATTACTGGTCTTGTGAAAACAAATACACAAACAAGCAAACAAACAATACAACGACAACAACAAAAAACAAAAACAGAGACATGCATCTTACTCCACATTCTACGTCTTTCAACATGGATTAAGTGCTTTTTATCTCAGTGATAAAGTTTAATATAATTTCAGAATTTATTTTTTTTTACTTATGAATGATTGTTTTGTTAATTTACTACTACACAATGAAATATTATACTTATGAATTATTTCTCTCATTATTCTCCAGCCAAGGATGTGTTCGAAATTAACATTAGATAAAACTATTGTGAATGTATAAGCCAAATGATAATTTAAATCTAAAAAAAAGGTGACAGATGTATGTGTGTGTGTGGGGGGGGGGGAGAGAGATTTCATCATAATAATAATAAAAAAGGAAAAGAAATACAAAAAAATATCTGACAAATCTAAACACTCCCCCCCCGCCCCCCGTTACTAACCCCCCTCCCCTACGGCTTACGTCCACATACACATACACACACGCCCACATACACACATAGACACACACACACACAGACACACACGCCCACACACACACATAGACACACACACACACAGACACACACACACGCCTACACACACACACACACACACACACCCACACACACACAGACACACTCCCGCAAACACAGACACCCCTCCTCCCTCCCCTCCCCTCCCCCAGGTCACGAAATACCCACCCCTAATCTCACTTTCCCTTTTCCTCCCTTCTCCCGCAGCGATCCTGGACTGCCTCTGTGAGAAATTCCTACCCGATAACGTGTCCGCGATCATCTTCCTGACGCAGACGGAGAGCTACAGTAGGTCGACCGCCTCCGCCCAGTACTTCCTGCAGCTGGCGGGCTACTTGGGCATCCCGGTCATCGCCTGGAACGCTGACAACTCCGGTTTGGAACAGGTGAGGTTTTTCGTTTTTTTTTTTTTTTTTTTGGGGGGGGGGGGAGTAGGAAGGAGGGAGGGAGGGAGGGAGGGAGGGAGTGGGAATGGGAGGGAGTGGGAGTGGGAGGGAGGGAGTGGGAGGGAGGGAGTGGGTAAGGGGAAGAAGGAAGGGAGTGGGAGGAAGGGATTGGGAGGGAGGGAGGGATTGGGAGGGAGGGAGGGATTGGGAGGGAGGGAGGGAGCGGGAGGGGGAGGGAGGGAGTGGGAGGGGGAAGAAGAGAGGGAGTGGGAGGGGGAGGAGGGAGAGGGAGGGGGAGGGAGGGAGGGAAAGGGAGTGGGAGGGAGGGAAGGAGTAGGAGGGGGAGGGAGGGAGGAAGAGGGAGGGAGAGGGAGGGAGAGGGAAGAAGGGAGTGGGAGTGGGATGGGGATGAATGAAAACGACACTTCCACTCCCTTTTATTTCTTCTCTTCCTTTATTCTTCTTTCCTCTTCATTATTTCCCTTCTTCGTTATCTCCCTTCTAGCACTTGTGTCCCTCCTCTCGTTTTTTATTCTTATTTATCTTCTCTTCCTCTCTTCGTTGGGCTGTTCATTGCCGTAAACCATTATCTTCCTCTTTGCTCTCTACTTATTTATTCTTTTCGCTCTTTATTTCCTTCCTATTCCTTCTTTATCACGTCCCTTCCTCACCCATTATGCTAATTCCATTTCCTCTCTTCGACCTCTCCTCTATTATATTCTTATTCCCTCTTTATTCTCCCTTCTCTTTCACCCTTCATCATCCTCTTCCACTTTGCTTATTACCTCTTTCGCTAATCTCTTCTACTTCCGGTATCCCCCTTTATTTTAGCCCCTTATCTTTCTCCACTTTGCCTATTCATCCTCCTCCACTCCTTGCATCCTCACCCTTCATTTATTCCATTATTCCCCTTCTCTTTCTTCCATTATCCCTCCCTCCCCCCCTCCACCCCCCATCTCAGACCCCCAACCTATCCAATGAAAACGACACTTCCACTTGGATAATATTCACGTGATGATTGAAACACAATACCGAGGAAAGGGGGGAGGGGAGAGGGAGGGAAGGGGAGGGAAGGGAGGGGAGGGAAGGGAGGGGAGGGAGGGGAGGGAGGGGAGGGAAGGAAGGGAGGGAAGGAAGGGAGGGGAGGGAAGGGAGGGGAGGGAGGGAAGGAGGGGGAGGGAGGGAGGGAGGGAGGGAAGGAGGGGAGGGAGGAATAGGAGGGAGGGAAGGAGGGAGGGAGGAATAGGAGGGACGGAGGGAGGAACGGAGAGGGGGAGGGAGGGAGAGAAGGATGGGAGGGAGGGAGGGAAGGAGGGAGGGAGGGGAAGGATAGGAGGGGGGGAGGGAGGGGAGGGAAGGATAGGAGGGAGGGGAGGGAGGGGAGGGAAGGAGGGAGGGGAGGGAAGGATAGGAGGGAGGGGAGGGAGGAAGGAGGGGAGGGAGGGAGAGAAGGATGGGAAGGAGAGGAGGGAAGAAGGGATAAGAGGGAGGGAAGGAAGGGCTTTGAGGGAGGGTAGGAAGGACGGAGTGGGGTAAGGGTGGGATAGGAGGGAGGAATGGGAGGGAAGGGAGGGGAGGGAGGAATAGGAGGGAGGGGAGGGAAGGAAGGGAGGGGAGGGAGGAATAGGAGGGAAGGAGGGAAGGAGGGGAGGGAAGGAAGGGAGGGGAGGGAGGAATAGGAGAGAGGGGAGGGAGGAATAGGAGGATGATGATGATGATAATGATAATGATAATGATAATGATAATGATAATGATAATGATAATGATAATGATAATGATAATGATAATGATAATGATAATGATAATGACAATGATAATGATAATGATAATGATAATGATAATGATAATGATAATGATAATGATAATGATAATGATAATGATAATGATAATAATAATAATAATGATAATAACAATAATAATAAACAACAACAACAAAGAAAAACAAAACAAGAAAGAAAGAAAGAGACACAGAGACCGCAGATGAACATGTCACTCCCTCTCCTCTCCCCACCCCCCTACCTCCTTAGTCCCCCCCCCTACCTCCTTAGTCCCCCCCCTACCTCCTTAGTCCCCCCCCCCTACCTCCTTAGCCCCCCCCTACCTCCTTAGTTCCCCCCCCCCCCTTTCTCATCTAAACCCAAACATTACACCCCAAAGTGTATCATTTTTCCCCCTGACACCTACAACGTCACGGCCATCTCTCATGCTGATCTATCTCTTCTTCTGATTTATTATCTTTATCTACTTTATCTATCTCTCTTCCTTCCTTCGTCGGGGATGGAATAGGAGGATGATGATGATGATGATAATGAAGTGGATGATGATTACTATCTACTATGTAATGGAGATGATGATGGTGAATTAGATCATAAGAATATTGGAAAAGAGTAGAAATAATAGTAATGATAATTGGTGATAATTAGTTGATGGAAAATAAAGAGAGAGAGAAAAAAAATATGTGTTGATAATAACTATCATAAAAAAAGGAAAATTAACTGATAAAGACACCATAATAATTATGATAATTATGTTGATGATGATGATGATAAGGAAAATGATGATGATAGTGGTCATGGTAATAACAATAATGATGGTAATAATAATGATGATAATGATGATAGATTAATAGTAACAATAATGAAAATAATCATACTAATAATGATAATGATAATGACAATAATAATGTTATTGATAATAATAATTACAATGATTATGATAATGATACTAATGATGATGATGATAATGATAATGATAATGATAATAGTTATAAGTGATAATAATAATGATAATGATAAAAATTATGATGATGATGAAATTGATATAATAGTAATAACGATAATAATGATAATAACAATAATAATAACAACAACAATAATAATAATGATAATAACAATAATAATAATAATAATAATAATAATAATAATAATAATAATAATAATAATTATCATTATCATTATTATTTTCATCATTTTCATTATGAGTCTCAATATGACTATTTTCATTATTATTATCATTATCATTATTATTATTATTATTGTTGTTATTATTATTATCATCATCATTATTATTATCATTATTATTATTATTATTATTATTATTATTATTATTATTATTATTATTATTATTATTATCATTATTATTATTACAATTATTATTATTATTATTATTATTATTATTATTATTATCATTATTATTATTACAATTATTATTATTATTATTATTATTATTATTATTATTATTATTATTATTATTATTATTATTATTATTATTATTATTATCATTATTATTATTATCATGAATTACACTTATGATATTGATACAACTAGTAACAACATAAATAAACAATGATAATAACAGCAGGAGATAAGAAATAGTTTTCGAATGTTTTTTTTATTCATTTATTTATTTATTCATATATTTGTTTATTTATTGTTGATATTACTGTAGATGAAAAAGTCTTTCATTTTGTGATAAGATAATGGACCGCCTCCATTTTCTTTTTTTTTCTTTTTTCTTTATCTTTCCTTCTCCTTCTCTCTCTCTGTCTTCCTACCTTTCGCTTTACTCCCAATTTCTATCTTTAATTTTTCTTACTTTCTCTTCCTCTTCCTTCTTTTACTTCTTCTTTCGTTTCGTTTCTCATTGTTTGTTGTCTCTTCTCTTTTCCTCTTTCTGTTCTTCCATTTTTTCCTCATCTTCTTTACTTTCATCTCTTATCCCGTCCTTCTTTCCCTGTCTTTCTTCCCTTCCCCTCCTCCCTTATTCGCTTTTAACACCCCTATCCCCTTCCCCCTCCTTTCCCTTCACCTCCAACCCCCTTCTTCTCTTCCATCCTTTCTTTCCTCTCTTTCCACCCTCTTCTCCCTTTCCCTCCCCTCCTTTTCTATCCCTTACCTTCCCTTCCCTTCCCTTCCCTTCTCTCCCTTCCCTCCCTCCTCCTTCACCGTTCTTCCTCTCCCTCCCTTCCCCTTCCCCTTCTCCCTCTCTCTTCCTTCCCTTCCTTCCCTCTCCTTCCCTCCCTCTCCTTTCCGTATGCTCACACAGAGAGGAAAGCGATACGTCTTTTTACTTTTTCCCTCTTTGTTTAAATTCAATTTATGTTCGAGTTTCTTTGGAGGAATCAAAAGCAGGTGAGGGCGGAAACGAGGACACACACACACACACACACATACACACACACACACACACACACACACACACACACACACACACACACACACACACACAGCACACAAAAGACACACACACGCACGCAGTACACAACGCACACACACACACATAAACACACATACGCACACATACACACACACACCCACACACACACACACACACACACACGCACACACACACACACACACACACACACACACACACACACACACACACACACACACACACACACACATATATATATATATATATATATATATATATATATATATATATATATATGTATATATATGTATATATGTATGTATGTATGTATGTATATATGTATATGAACGCACAGGAATTCAGCACTTGCTACATATTCAAATGTGCATTCCAACATGAATATCATTTTAATACTCATTACTTGCACATTAAATTCTACTTTAGTCGCCTCTCCCTCTCCATTAGTCAGAGTAATAAAACTAAAGGGAAAATATCCCTTCTCTTTGCGCCTAATCCTGGCCAGGTGGTGCCACAACTCCCGCGCAAGTAGATGAAGGAAGGTGCAGCGTGAATAATTCATCTCATATTCATCACAACCCAACATTTACATACAGCAGAGAGGGAGAGAAGACGGGGTGAAAGAGACCTACCTATGGCAACACTGACCTGGCGCCATATGATGTGTATTTGATTCTGTTGAGGCTTAACCTGTAGTCTTTTTCTGCATGGTTATAGTGCGCATATATATATATATATATATATATATATATATATATATGTATATATATATATATATATATATATATATATATATATGTATATATATATATATATATATATATATA